TTTGCAGCACCTTCACCAGCCAGGGGTTGAGTAGAAAGTAAACGGCGGTATTGTATGTATGTATGTACATATGTAACGTGTAAAAAATGTAAATATGGATTGGCAACGGTTTGNTGAGTAGAAAGTAAACGGCGGTATTGTATGTATGTATGTACATATGTAACGTGTAAAAAATGTAAATATGGATTGGCAACGGTTTGACTGATATTCTGAAGGCATATACGTGTAGAAGGGAGGGGTTGAGGGGGGGTCGTGGTGTACTTTGGGGGCTCCGTGGGGTCATGAGGGGATGGGAGGGGGCTCCGTGGATCATTTTGGTCAAAAATGTCGCATTTCACCCAATCACCAAAAACTCATCGGATATCGACGAAGCTCGACGCCGCGGTCACGCCTAAATAAAGTTGATTTACTTTCCAAATCGTTTTTTTTCGAAAGATATCGCGAAAAACAACATTGTGAATATTTGCCCGAACGGACCATACAGATCTAGACCATATATAGTCTAATCCCGGCGCCCGACGCTCTAGCATAAAACCCGCAGAAAAAAACGTGTACCGCACATACATACCGTGTACCGCACATACATAATCACAACCGAACCATCAACAACGCTCGCTCGTTCATCGTTCATGGGCACCGCCTCCATAGGATACCGGCCCTTCTCAACAGAGGGTCGGACTCGCCTGACGTGCGAGCACTTTTCGGTGTGGTACTGATCAGTAAAAAAAGCACACACAGAGAAAGAGGCACAAAGAGAGAGAAAAACGGGCACGACGACCGCCTCGTGCATCATGCTTCCGAGGCACATAACACACAGGACACAGACGCCAACGGTTTATCGGTTTCGCCGCAATCTACGGCGGATACTGTCGGAGATTGGTGTAGTCTTGATTTCCAAGTGTACCTTAAATGATGATAATCCACCCGGGTATATACCCGTTTCTGGTTACTCCTCTAATCAAATCTTCACATCGTCCCCAGCTTAAGGCATACATAATAATAAGCATGCTCTGCTTCACGGTTTATTTTAGTTTTGTCGAGAAGCCATGCACACACCACACCTACCTACTACTACAAACCCACACTGCAGCTGGCTGTTGGTGCAAGGGGGCGTTGTACAATTCAGCGTATCACCCTGCAATACACACAACAATACAACCACCATGTGCTTGCTCTCTCTGCGTAATGATGTTGTTTTCTTGTTTCTCCACAAAGGACGGAAGAACGTAAGGTTGACATTTTAAATGGATGAAACGGATGGATACACCAATCACAACGAATAGAATGCAAGAAAAAACAGGTAGAATAGCTTTCTCTGACGCTATGAATTCATTGCTAGTCTATCGTAGACTCTTTTCTTAGAGATTGATTCGTGGGGTCACATTCAGAAAAAAGAAAAAAAATGCAACTTGACGTCTAGATAATTTTGGGCGCATTTTCAATTATTCGTTGCATCCATCCATCCATCCACAGATAGATACACTACAGCAGCAGCAGTAGAGTCTAGTCCAGAGCCGACAGAATAATATTTTCTGTTTTGTGTCATGTGTTCTATCTGTCGCACAGGGTGTCGGCTAGGGGGGGGGCAGAATTCAACGTATCAATATCCTATCCATCATGTACACATGCATGCATGGAGAAATAGGTATGTTGCTGGTGCACTGGTCGTCCACTTCATGATTATTTTGTTCGAGACCAGACGAAATAATAGTCTAAGCTTGCTTGTTCGGCTGAATAAGTGCCTGGGTGACTCGCGGCACATGAATAAAGATTTAGCATGTACGTACATACATACATGACATTTTGAATGTCTCAGTACACTTGGTCCTACAGGAAAGCGCGTCTGGACTCTACGCATTGCGTACAAAGAAGCGCGAACGAAACAATGGTACGTTTGCAATATTATTGGAAGCAGGTCAGGTTTTGATTCTTCATTCAATTGCGGCGCTCAGTAGGTTCAATCCCGCGGCAATAATGAACACCAATTTTCTTTCCAATCATGGTCAACCTTTCCTCATTATATATTTATGCTAATTCAAGGTCAACCTTTGAGGTAACCCCTCCGCTCCCCACCCCCCCCCCGATGGTAGCCCGTTCCCAATCCAGTCAACCAAAGGCAAAAGATGAAAAGTTCTGTACTTCTCTTGTACAACCATGCATTCCACACGCAAATAAAAGTGAACGGGAACAGGATTGCACAATGGTAGGCATGGAGAGGACTGCACGTGACGAAATTTTGGGAAAAGGAAACAAGTGTCTCTTGTGCTTTCCGTACACACACATCGACCGAAGAAAAACCACGACAGTCAATATCTCACATCCTTTCAACGTCCCTTTTAAAATACCAACACTACGAAGAGTTTTGTCCGCAGGAAATCCAGACTGCACTGCACTGCAGGCCACAGCCAGCGAATCGTACAAGGCCAGGCCACCACAGCAGCACCCCGCATCCTAAACGCAACAACACATGAACCTGGAACATCTTCAAGAATCAGCAAGCTTGCCGGTCTTCCACACCTCCTTTCCGGGATCTCCATATTTCTCCACGCACCTCGCTAGAGACGTGGCAACCCAAACCAATGTCATTCATCCATCCATCCAGTCAAGCACAGATCCAACTCACACTGGAGGGAATCCTACTTTGCGAGTTTGTGTACCTGGTGCGAAACTGCACACCGCCGGACAACAAGACAAAATACAAAGGCACCACGCGCGTAAAAACTAAACCGCAGTCATTTAAACAAGGACAGCACAAATTCTGAATGGATTGATGAATGTATACCCTACTGGATCTATGGATGTATATCCTGCATGAGGGGGCGGGGAGGGCGCGGGGACGCGTGCATCCAAAACTGATACTGGAGACCTCGTTTGCACCTCCTACGTACCTCCCCTGCCCATCGATACCACCCTCCACTGCACTAGTTCAAGATGTATGAGCGAGCTCGTTTACGTGTGACAACCCAAGACCCAACGCCTGAATGTTACACGCTCACCTCCCCGTCTACACCGTATGTTTGGTGCTACAGGCAGGGGTTCCACAACACGACGACATTTCTCAGGGCGAGAGGCCAGAAGAAGAGCAAAATGAAGGACAAAATACACGAAAACTGAAATTGAAAAATTGCTTATGTACTGTACTTTTTCCAAGTACTGTATACACCGATTGACCGATTAAGTCCTGCCTGAGATGACCGCAACAGATGGCCTACAGGGATCATCCATGGGCGCGACAAAACATTCGTAGCGTGCCGGCGGCGACGCGGTCGATCCGCAACCAAGTTACGCCCATGTGCACGTGAGTGATCGTCCTCCTTCGCCCGACGAAAAACGATGGTATTACTTGCACCAGCAATACCCAAAAAGACCTACTTGTATAACAGCCAACCCCATTTTCTTGCTGCCGACACCGGCACGCACCGCTAAAAAAACAGCGACGAGAATGAGTGGTACACCGACAGATCGGGTACACTTGTGCGCCGCCGTCATGAAACGGCTTGCACACCGACAAACATTTTCCCTCAACATTCAAGTCCCATGCAAAAGAGGCATATAACTGGTTGGTTTCTTCAAACGCCCTATCGTAGACAATGGCTCGGTGTTGACAAACCGGAAATGCAAGAAACGAGGTACGTGGGTGCCGCCCGGAATCAGAAAAAAAGGCGCGTCGACTCTTGTGAGATATATCGGTCGCCACGAACAAAACTACTCCGTTGCACCGCATAAACTAATCGCCGTACAACCGCGTGCCCCCCTCTCCTTCACCGAACGACCGCAAAAAAAAATTGCGTCTAGCTTGCCCATGCAAGGAGTGACGTGTGCGGCGTTCGAACCCCTTCAATAGAAACAAGACTCACTACTACCTGCTTGACCAGTCCTCGACCCACCAAGATAGCCACAGAGAAGTCAATTTGGCGCTTCCGTAACTTGATGCTACTGCTCCCAGCGAACGAGCGGACCTTGGGAGACACAACTTGCCTGGCGGGCCGTTCATCCTCAATGCTCTTCTCTTCAGGACTAACTGGGTCACAACGTAATCAGGAAAACGCGGCCATCCCCACAACGACTCCAACCCCCCCCCATGAACCATGCACCAAAAACAACGAAACGATGCGACCAAGAAATCTAAAAGAGGGTAGCAAGCAAGGAAGCCTGCAGATTGGCGAAGCCAACCAAAATTCGCACGTACACTGCGCTACTTCTGCGTGTTGGGGACGATTAGGTGACCCGAGAACGAGGATACAAGTTATGGCTGACGTAGATGGTCTTCGGGTGCTTCTTCGACTTGTACGCACAAGTCCGATGAGCCTTGGTCGACAAAAGAACACTCGTCGAACCCAACCAATCCTTCACAATGCCACCAACAAAAATAAACCACAGCACAACCCTCCCGGCCAATCTATCTCCTGTTGACCTTACGTAAATGCACAATGAGCCTCCCTCAAACGTAATGAATTCCCAACGGCACTAAAAGCATAAATACAAGGTTTGTGTATCTTCATCTTTCGTGCAAGGGGGGAGAAGGCAGGTATGCTACCATACCACAGGGAAACCGGAAGCACTCGCACGCACACACTTACACGCCACGCCCGCATACCGAGGTACGCGTGCACGCACAGGTTCGGCCAGAGAAATCTCCACGAGAGAACTTGGATCCATCGTGCCGCCATTGCGTGGCATGTCATAAAGCACACACAAGAGATCTCCTCGACACCATATAGGGTACCATTAAGAATCGAAAAATGTATTGGGGAGGTTACAGCTTTCGATCCAGGGAGAACATTAAATCCAAGAATTACGCATTGTACCAGAGGCTCGGTACAGACAGGGCAGACAGAAAAAAAATGTTCACCCGCGTAGATGGCCGTGCCCAAAGCAAATCGACACCACTTTCAGCCCCACGCCACCGTTCCACCCACCGAAAGCACTTTCACAGCATGTCTTGAAGTTCGGATCGCCGCATGATATGGCTTCGTTATAAAGATAGCGATTCTTGCTGTGACACTGTATCGTAACCGAACCTTCACCGGACATCGTGGGGGACACGATCCAATCTTTCACGGATCCACGTTCATGAGGTCGTTGGGGTCGTCATGCAAGGGCTGGTGAGCCGTGGCACCACTGCGGAAGACCGACTGGCACATGTCTGAGAACCAGTCCCCGCACGAGTAGTCCACGCAGCTGTACGAGACCTGGTGGCCATCGCTGTTGAACGGGATGGGCGCTCGGGATGCCGTTCGCCTTCCCGCGGGTCTCGGCGTTGCCTCAGCCGCATCGGCGGGGGGTGCGGCGCGGAGGTACGTCACCTGGCAATAACGGGAAACATAAGGGTCGCCGGGGAGTTACAAATGGGAAGAGGCATTTGCGTTGCTTCGACGGTTACAACTGGGAGGCGGCAGCGAGGGTGCGCTTCTGTTGGTCGGGTACTGAAGGATATAGTGCCATCATGTTGGGCACAGGGGGGGCGGCCTTGCGGCAACCAAGGACCAGACACACAACCACTGAGAAAACGATACAAAACGCCATCACCTAGGTCGAATCCTGGTAAGCAGCAGTGAATGCGCCGATGGCTTCGTTTTGACGCGCTTGAGTGCCGGTAGTGACTGTGGTAAGCCACGGAGCCAAAGGTCGCCAGGTAGTGATGAAGCACATGTTCGAATTTGATCGCTACCATCTCCTCTAGGTAAAACGCCTGTCTACAGGTGTTGTCGTGTCCCTCTTCCCATCTCTCCTCACCTTGAGCTGAGGACCAACGTACTGGTACTCCCCACTGTCAGATCGGATTTCGACAACGAGATCCACCTGCGACGTTACAGCAGTGGCATCCAACATGAGAAGGACCGAGAGAAGGATGAGGGATGATACATTCGGATCGACAGAAGACCTCCACAGCATACGATTGCAGCGGGTTGTGCGGTTCGAACGACGACGAAGCTTAAGTTCGTCGTGGCACAGCAACCATCCTGCCGACTAGATGCACCACTTGGAGAAAAATCGAAAATGATATAATTGCTTCAGCCAAGGAGACAGACAGCAAGCCAAGTGCACCAAATACACACAAAGCACAACATACTGCTGCAGTGTGCACACCACTGGCGACCGAAAATACTCAGGAAATGACTTCCAAGAGTGACCGCGACGCGCGACCAGTGTTTCGCTGCTCACCTCGACCACTCGGATGTTGCTCGTGCTATACAGCTCTGGCCAGATCTCTTGCATGCTCGGGTAGAACACACCCGCGTAAGCACGGCCGTTGGAGCCGAGCTGTTGCGAAAAGAGCACCAACAAAAAAAAACATGACCCGACGGGCGTGTCATGCGCACTGTACAATGTATATCGTGGCAGCGCCGTATGCATAGACACCAGACAATTCCCACCAAGGGAAGGACACGCCGTCATCACGCCATCATGACACAACTAACCACAGCAAATGCCCGGTTTTCGTGCGAATGGCTTTCGATACTCGCAAGGCTTCCCACGAAGGAAATCAGCACGCATGTCATGTTGAACGAACACCAGTACCGGAAGAGTCGGAGGGATGGCACCGGTCGGTGAAATCACACTGTTGCGCTCAACAACAAAAACCCGAAAGCATCCGGTGCCATCTTACCGACTCGTACATACGGTATCTCAAACTGCGCTAATTAGTCCACAAATAGCGCAAGATAAGGCAGCATGTTGGCTGGCTGTCAAAAACTGCCGACGAGCACCTCCCCAAAACGCCCCCCAAACATAAAACAAACACCTCACCTGGATAGGGCTGGTGACCTTGCCGACCTTGTGCACCGAGTCCACACCGAAGTGCGCCGTGACGCGCAGGCTGCGGAGGTCTTGACCTGTGTTGTTAAGTCCGGTAAACACCAGGTGACACTGGCGGTCCGTGGATGAGGGGATCGGCGGCTGGCCGCTCGTGGGGTCGGTTGGGGGTGTTGGGCGGCCCTCGAAGTCGCACTCCTGGCGGGTGCGAAGGGGGTTTTCATATATTTTGAAAGGAGGCAAGGGCGGGGGAGGGGGCGGGGGAGCCATTGTCAGCGCGATGCAAATGAACAGGCCAGCACAGAGGAAAAAAACAAAAAAGTGTGAAACAAATCACAATTACTACGCCGCTCTTGTCCCGCCTCGGCACGAACAACATTGGCATAAGCATTGAACAGCAGTCATGTGTCATGCAGCAGCGAGCAAAAACAGTATCGTGGCATTTTTCACAACCACAAACCAGATGACCGGAGTCTGCCACTGCTGTAGGCGCGGTCGATCCGCAAACAAACTCACATTCCTCGACGGTTCGATAACGACCTTCTCCATCGGAAGGTGGCCGTCATTCGCCCACTTGGCGTCAGACATGACCTCGTGCTGCTGTTGCCTCCCGGCTCCGGCGTCCGCGTTGCTGTTCGTCGATCCCGGCATGGAGCCGTTCGAGTCCGTCACGCTCCCGCCGGCATTCGCGGCCGCGGCGACGGCGGCGACGGCCTCGCCGTCCGCCGCCGACCCGCGGAACAAGCCGTTTACGTCGGACAGGTCAACCACCGCTGAGCCGCCGGCGGCGCTATCCGCGACCTGCGCGGAGTCGAACGACCACCCCCCAAGCGGGGGCTGCACGGACTGCGGTGGCGGCATGGGGCCCAGCAGCGCCACCTGGCTGTCGTTGCTGTTCCAGGTGCCGACACTGTTGTTAGAGGTGATCACGAGCGAATCGTACTCCGCCTTGACCGGGGGCTGGCCGTTGCTGCCATTGCTGCTGTGCTCCGATCCCATCTCGAGCGAGTGGCAGGAGCCCTGCGGGGTGGTCATCCTCTGGACGACATCGTCCCACTGCGTGCCCCCGGTCCCCGCCCCACCGGCGACGCCTACGGCGATCGCCGGCCTGCCGAAGTGGTGCTGCTGATGGTGTAGCGCTTGCTGAAACGGCTGCGGCAACGGTTGGGACGAATGCTGCTTCTGGGACGACGGCGGCTGCATGGCGTCGTTCGAAACGACGCGGTGCTGCTGTGGGTTCGCGGCCGGAAGGGCGCCGGGGGCGCCCCTGCAGCTGCCGTCGTCTGCCGGCACCACCGCGCGAGTAGGGACGTTCGACGCACTATTGGAGGAAGAGGACGGGTTCTCGAAGATGCCGACGGTCGAAAGGGGCCCGAGGCCCGAGGAGGGGACCACCTGCCCGTCGCTGTCGCGGCTCGACGTTCGGCGAAAGGTGGCCGGCGGCACTTGATGCTTGCTGCTGCCCCGGACCGTGGGGGAGCCGCCCTGGCTGCTGGGCTTGTTCGAGACGCACCGCCCGCCGCCCGCGCTGTCCTCTTCGTCTTCGTCGTCCAGGCGCCCAAGACTGTTTGTGCTTCGGTGACCGCCCATCTTTCTCGAACCCCCATCTTCAATGTCTGAAAGTACAAAAATGCAGGACAGAACGCCGACGCGGTGGCGGGCAGGTTGCGACCGGAAAGGATTTGGTGTAGGAGGTGTTGGATTTGTTTTGTCAAACATTGATTTTGGCATTCTTTCCTCGGTGTTGACTGCTCATCGTGGAAATCAAATCAGTGGTAAAGGGCAAGCCACGAACGCTCAAAGTCTCCAGCAAACGCCGTATCAGTGAAGGACACAGGGACCGGCACTTTGTACCCAGCCCGCCAGTCACACCACAGCGACCGCGTCGTGATGGTTGGGACATTCATCGTGGAAGAGGCGAACTGCCGTGTTCATCGTTGAAAGTCTGCCGCCGCGGAGACACAAAAATGTACGCAGAGAAACGGTGACGATCCGTAGTGGGCTCAAGTGAGGCAAAGCGTGCATGGTTGGCATCGACTCTCCCGAAAGAACGTATTAAACGCGAAGGGGACAGGCGAGTGGGCTGCTGCGAGTGGGTCTCCAGGGCCCACACAGCACCTACACTAAAACTTAATCAAAATTATGCACACAGGAATGTTGTTGTTGTTGTTTCTCACATTAGCTCTAAAAAACGAAAGATTGGGAGCCCGTGGTCTCAAAACCCGGCATACACGACCCCACGAAGAAACAGAAAAAAATAGGGCACAAAAACCACTCGGAAAAGAAACAAGATAGAAAGAAAGACCAGCTACCGCACCAAACGAGAAAGAGCGTCGAGGAGACCGATCAAAATAAAATAAAAGGAGAACGGGGAACGCTTCCCACACCCGTGGAAGGTGTGGATTCCCCTTTCCCTGCAAGCACGAAGAATTGCGCCAACAAGCGGAGCAACATTTGAGAATTGCGCGCGGACCCGAAGGCTATCTGCACGCGTGCGGGGGTACTGGGTACTGTAGGGAAAGTGTCGAAGAACTGGTCGGTGGAGACCGTCTCCCGCTTTGGTCTTCATGAGCCGGTCGCGAAAAGTCAGACTAACAGTCCAGGCCGGCACGGACCCGGTGCACTCATATCGTAGGCATATTACTGTTGCTAAGTGCCGCATCCCGCAACCGTGTCCAAGGGTGGCAACTTACACTTGCCAAGACCAAGTGGTCGTTGGATCACCACAACAAATAGGGCATCCGAAAAACATGGGAGACAGTGAGAAGAGCACCGTTGGGCAACGGGCGAAACAGTTTTGGCCTGTGGTCTGTTCTATATGCATAGGCGTGTACATAAATGAAAAACAAGAGGGAGAGAGAGAGCCCCGCCGGACAAAAGGCGTACAATCCAAAGTACAGGCGTGTATCTACATGTAACAGAAGCTTTGGCTTTCAAGAGGGTATGAGCGTACCGAGGACAGCGGCGGCGGCGGCGCGGCCGAGTTCGAGCAGCAACATTCATGCATTCATGCGAGACCACCCCTTCTTCCCCTCGCTGCCTCGGCAAGGTTTTGCTTAGGCATGACCCATAACGGGGGGGAGTGGGGGGGGTGCACTCATAGTTGCATGCCGTAGTAGACCATTGACCTCGCATCCCTACAAAGCCGGGACGGAGCACGCCGGGTTCTCACCGGACCAGGCTCTCACATCACCAAGCGCGAAGCGCCGTGAGATATTCGGCGAGTCGCATGAAGGGTGCGCTGCATCCTGCTAAGGGTTTTCGGCATCTTGTGCTTACTTCCTTGCGTACGGATGACAGCTGCGTATGACTACATTTTTTCTCTGGTGCTTTCACTTCCTGAGACAGTTGTGGCCTGTGTAACTGCCTCGAGGGTGCTTGACCAATTGAACAACGTGGTGAGATCATCCCCCTTGCGCGGAGTGAGGGTTCTCGACCCCGCACAACATGATCTCCTCGACCACCATTATGCTTTCCGCCAACAAAAAAAACGAGGTAAACAAAAACACGGAAACCTGGTTGCCGAGCTCACGAAGTGAATTAGCTTGTTTTACAACGTCGTTGCCAAGCGGCGAAAACCCAACCTCGACGGCAAACACCGGGGGGGGGGACCCATAACGAGGGGGGGGACCTTTCTAGCGAGCAGGGCTAGACTCACCCTCAACGGACCGATACCTTCTTGCTGCGGCTCACCCGCCGCGAGGCGTGCGTAGTGGTGAAGCTGGGTCGGCACTGGTGCGTCAGGTACAAAGGTGCAGATGCGCGGGCCTCCAGACCGTCGGTGTAGGCAGCAATGCCCATCTCATCCTTGTGCGCGGAGGCAGATGCCATCAGAAAGGTGGACGGGCAGTATGTACACGGCCCAAGGTGTGCTAGAGGGAGTTGTACTGTCTCAGCAACCTTGTGTTGCCATCGAAGGAGGAGGACAGGTGGTTACGAGCTGATTGGGCTGGTTGACCCTTCGGCGCGAGAATTTTCAGACCAAGAACTCTAAGTGCAGCAAGGGAGAAAGCGAGGAACCGACTGGGAAGGACAGCAACGAGAGCGTGTACGAAGCGGAGCGGGTCGAGTTTGGTCGTGCTAGGACTGGCCACAGCGGCACCGGAGCAGGCGGACGGCATCCAACCGTGGCGCACGGACAAACATTTTTTGTATTGTCAATTACCTTCCGTTTCTTTCATGAATACAAGTGTTGGGTGTATGTGATGACGTCACTGGTTTGTAGAGAGACGCTGGAGAGATGGCGCGTGTAATCCTGGTGCCTTAATTGTGTACCTGCATCGTGGAAAACCCCTTAAATGTAGAACGTTTCCTAGTCAGTGTCGATGTTCAACACTGCTGTGCCTAACACAGATGATCTGGATAGATTCGGGTGACTGTCAATTGCAATATGATGGTTTGGTTGGGTGTTCTTCATTGGATGTCTACGGACTCATTCTGACAGCACTTCAGACAGCAGAACGCTGTAGTCGACATTCATTTTGGTTAAATGCGGGACGAGGGAGGTGATGCTGCTGCTGTAGTCGATTTGTAGTGTGTGGGCGTGTAGTTCAGTTGTGAGCACGCGAACGTGCTGAAGGGATTGCAGGTGTACCTCCTCGGGCTTGCGTACCCTTTTCTCGCTCTAATAGTTTGTGTATTCTTTATATCTTCTGATGGCTCTAGCATTTTGGTGACACCACGGACCGAGTCTTTGCTTGATTTTGGGATTAGCAAGTGACACGAGTTTAGCGTAGAGAAAAACAACAAATAAAATACCAACATGGATTGGGCTGACGGGGTTGTTGTCGTTCTTGTTGTTTCTCACATTAGCTCTATATTCCACAAAAAATGGGGAGCCCGTGGTCTCAAAACCCGGCACATACGACGCCGCGAGAAAAAACAAAACAAAAAAAAATAGGGTACAAACCACTCGGAAAAAAAAAAAATGATAGAAAGAAAATAACAGGTATCGCACCGACCGTTCGAGAAAAGTATTCCCTGTCCGAGTAAAGGTTGCACATCGTTCCTCGTTCGCGCCAAATTATCGACAGTGACACGTCATGATTCCCAGATCATGTGAATTGATCCGAAAACAGAATGACAGCATGCGCTTCACTGCCACGTCATGCACCCAACCCGCCAACAATGAAAGGCTACCGCTGTGTATCTCTGCTAGTTCGCGTGTGGGTGTGGGAACCAGATGTGCGCCACAGCAGCAGAGAGGCATCGGCAACAATCCACGCGCTGATTGTTCGCTCTCGACGTTTTTACACCGAAAAAATTCAACGCCTCCATAATTAATGAGGTCAATTTGTTGTGCCGCGAACAGCCGCCTTCTCAGACATCATATTGCGTGTGCGGCCGGTCGGTGCCGTGAACGACGCATCTGGCCACGGTCATGAGAGAGAGAGAGAGAGAGAGAGAGAGAGAGAGAGAGAGAGAAGAGAGAGTACTCCTGTGTTGCCCCGCACTTTCACAGCCAGGCTCAAGTCTGGTGGATAACCGCTGCCGCGCGCAAATCTGGAGGACAGACTTTTGCACTCTAGTCTCAATCCGTGCGCACTTGTCTGCGTAGACCAACTAGAATCTTGGCGCACGCAGGAAAAAGTGTGATCTAAACGTGCAATTCTTGTGCACACCATCGATTGTAGGGGAATGCCGCCAGTTTCACGTGTGTCCGCTGTGTCGCTGTGTGCGCTAACGTTTCTCCGAAACAGGAGGCAACCAACAAGCCCACGGCAGAGCCCATGGCTGATATAAAGATATAGACTACACACGCAGAAGCTGGGAGGGAAACTCAAACTCATGTGCGGGACATTTTGTATGAACCCGTCGCACGATACCACAACTACACCGGTGGGTTTGTCGCCTCATTCAATAGCAAATACACCTGACTGTGTACGCAACCCGTCTCGCAACACAGGCTACACAGCAGCAGCATAGGGCAGGTTCAGCGCACGCACAGGGTTCGGTAGACACGCTCGCACGCCGAGGGGGATTATGAAATTCACGCGGCGGTCCGCTCCCGAGGAGGTGATTCATCATGTCAGCAATCCGGGAACACGATGACGCGGCTTCCGCCAACCGAAGGATCGTATTTGTTTTTCGACGGCGACGATAAACATTAAGTGGTCTGTCTCACCCGAGTCGCTGCCCTCAATGGACGCCGTCGTGGCAGTCCTGGCTCGCTTCTTGCGCCCCCGCGGGAGCTCCACGGGCTTGGCGTCTACGGAGACGCCGCACAGGAGGTCGCACAGCAGAGCGCCGGGCCCCTCGCTGGGCTGAGGGCCGGTGAATTGAACCTCCACCACGACGTTTCGCGGGCTGCCATCGGTAGCAGCCACAGCGTCTTTGCTTGATGCGGCAGGTCTGACGGCAAGGCGTTTGACCGTCGTGTACCTCTCACGGATGGAAGCCAGCAGCTCAACTTCGGAGGCTGTATCGCCCAGCGCAGGGGGGGACGACAGCAGGAGCAGCAGCAGAATGGGGACAATGTGGCGTGTCAAATGGTGTTCGCACTGCTTCCTATATTGTGCTATATTGTTAATTTTAGCGCGAAACACCAGGCAGGCCGGGGACAATCGCCCCGGCAGAAACTGCTATTGCTGCTGCCTTGAACAGTCATATCTCTCAGCACAGCAATAACAAAGCCCAGCAGCAGCAGATCGACAGCGGGCTCGATCAATTCAATCAAAATGCAATTTCACGGCAATAACCCATCAAGCTACGCACGATGGCCTTGCCCCGGGAGCTCACCATTGCCTGTGACGCCGTCCACCTGGAACAACCAGCACCTTTGCTTTCTGCGGGCAGTCCTCGCCCCGCTGGCGCTGGCTCCTGCTGCGGCCGGAGCTACAGCGCCTGCCCCTCCTGCCGGGGCAACGGACGCGGTAGACGCACCAACTACAGCGCTAGCAGCCATGATTGCTAAAGCGTGAACGGCAGTCTTCTTCGAATCGCGGGGTCAAGCCTATCACCCAGCACCTCTCGAGGGCACCTGGCGATGCCGGGAACAACACCCCCTGGTGAGAAGCTGCTGCCCGACTTTCCCCCTGCTGCTGCTGCTAACGTATGTTTTCTGCTATTTTTCCAGCACACACGCAAATGGCTAAGAAGGTTTGGCGAAAAGTATCAGCTGGGGATTGCCGGGAGTGTGTGACGGCATGCCCAGAACAAATCTGGATGCACGTCCCCCTGCTCGTGTCGTGGGAGGTGGGAATATGTCACGCCTTGATGGTTGAGTTGGTTGGACGGGGAGCAACAAAGAGTTCACGACTCCGTTATTATGTTTGAATGCAAATTAGGTCGGCAGCTGGGTGCCGAGTTGAATGGCATACCCCCACCCCCCCGTCTGCAGACCCGGTGGCGCATCTGTCGACCCGTAGCGAGCCGATAAGATAATGGTTGGTTGTGCAGCTTGATCTTGTCGTATGTACTCTGCAAATAGCCGGTCATGAAAGCAGAAAGAATAACCGCCGGGAAGCTGCTGCCGCCTGTTGTGTTCGAGCGAGCGTACAAAGAATGTTCGTGGCGAATACAACAACAACAACACACAACAGAGGCATGGTGATGACGAAGAGTGGAGGAGTCTCGAGATGACAAGTCTCAAGAGAGAGAAGTAGAGGAACAGCGACACAGACAGGGCGTAAAATGATGACATGGTCAACTACACCAGCACCAAGTAGTACCGACCAATCACGAGGTGTTTTCTGCACTCTTTTCGTTTACCGCCAACAACCATGCTGCTGCCAACGAACAATCAACCAACCTCGATCGTGGGTTGTTTGTTGTTCTTGTTTCTCATAATAGCTCTTTATTCCATAAAAATGGGGAGCTCGCGGGTGTAGCAATTTGGTAAATATCTTTGATGGTAAAACGCCTTCTCTGCTGATCGCTGCGTATCCAGGTGGGTAATTTCTACGTGTTGTATCCTTCGCCGTACTCCGTAACATGTCCACACCACTGCTCCACACGGAGAGACCAACTGCCACTCGCTGCTACTGCTGACGTTCATGACGGATGCTCTTCAACGGGATTACGACATGGTTGCGACAAGATGTCTCGGCAAACCGCTCTGAGGAACACCACCAGGGAAGTTGACAACAATGGCCACATTGGATGTATATCACTTGAACACTTTCCGTGCTCTACTGATGCTGATTACCAACACCAAACATACTAGGAAACCCGCTTACACGATACAAACTGAACGCTATGCCCTACCTACCATGCACCAGGTGTACCATTCTCTTCTACTGTAAGCATCACTGATACGCTACCCCATAGGGTCAAATAAGTTTTTTTTTTTTTTGGTGCTAAAAAAACGGCGTGAAACACCTGCTAGCACCAGCTGGCATCACTGATAAATCATCAGTGTATAGACTTATAAAGACTCGAAATAAGTCCAGTACCCAGCCGGTTTTCCTCCACTTGCTGAAAAGACTCCACCACATCCCGTTCGACTGTGGGTATATCTCGAATGGGTAGTCTTTCTGTGCGTGTATTTGTTTCTCCTTAGTTGATTCACGTCGTCTGTTTCAGGTTTTCTCTCTGCTGGTTCTTGATAAAAATGTGGCCGATTATTACAGAATCAACAACTAGTGATTCTAGGAACGTTGCAAGTGCATGCATGTATTGTTCAACCAATTATGTTGTTTGTGTCTCCGCAACTGACCAACCCGTCCGTCCCTGTCCCGACGCAAATCGGGCGCGTCGACCCAACCCGACCCAACCCGTCCGTCCCAATACCGACGCAAATAGGGCGTGTCGACCCATCCCCAGCCACACAATCAACAAAGGGCGGTTCAATTATGGGGCGCGTGTACACAAGATGGATAGTTCAAAGAAACTGTGGCGTTCAAACTTGCTGGATATAGTGCGCCGACCCGCTCGTAAGAAACATTGTCTACACCAGCTGGTCTACACAACCAATGCACCCTCACAAACAGGGAGGATCCATAAAGACTCATCCATAAAAGCGAACAGCGAAGAAAAAAGCAAGACATCGGGTCAGCCGGCTTAACATGATCAGCCGCCAGCTTCACGAAATAATATTTGAAAGTACTTGTAGTAAAAATTAAAGAGCGCGGCCTCACGTACAGTCATGTGCTAAGTCGTCCTGCCATCCATCCATCCAATACCAGGTATATGATAGCGCTTAGCGACAAAAATAACAAGGTGATAGCCTATGCATACGTGCTCAGCCGTCGAGACATCGAGACACTTTGCCCAAACAAAGCAACTCGCTTGGGCAAGATGCTCCACGTCATGGAGAGCAACAGCCGATGGTTGTTTCCGCGTTCATCCCTCGTTAATGTCGGACGATGTTACACATTTTTTACAAACTTCCGTCAATCAACCTCCTCCGCCTTCCGGTACGCATCGTAGTACCATGTCTCTTTCACGAGTTAGCTCCCCGTACCCTCCGTAAGACAGGCCGAACTATTTGCACCGTTTACAGGCAGGGCACAGCTCTCTCTCCAATGTGGGGGTTCACGCAGCACGCACTAACTGATGATTGGCCCCCGTCTTCCTGCGGTGCTCCCGTTCCTTCCGCGCCTTTGGGATCATCAAGCACAACAAAACACCGCACAACCCGTCCAAACGATATCACGCCCGTGCGTATCACAGTCCCAAAGGCAGCATCTCGTTGGAGGATGGATTGCATACCACAAGAGGCACCCGATGGTGCTGTTTTTTCACCCCGGACTAAAACGTCTACAGCACACCAGTATGTAGTACAACCCACCGACACGACACTGCCGCGCTACAGACCAACGATCGCTGCTACGCATGCATGTATCACATGTCGCTCCGGGAGTGAGTGGCAGCCACCACAACATTCCCGCGTCCCCCAAAGAACAATCGCGTGGTTCCATTCGAGAGATCGTCGCTCTAGCCTTTTTCTTCTGTTCGCCATCGCCACGTCACGACATGCCACTACAGCACTACATGTTTGCATGCAGCTGCACACACAGATCATTCGTTTCTATGGGTGCTATTGACAGAAAAGGAAAACGACGCAGCCTACATAATTTTTGTACCCCGCTCCACAATCCCGAGGTGGGGTGCCTTCGCTGGGCTCGTCTCGTCGGTGTATCGAGCTCGAGGCGATCCTTTACCTTCGTGCATTTTCGGCGTCCGGAAGGCACCCACCCACCACCTCCCGCGGGGGTGATCTTGGCACAGCCGCATTGGCCTCGCATAGCAGCACTGCTGCACCTTTCTCCTCCTTGGCTGGATTGTCAGTCCTTCCTCCTTCCTCCTTTTCTTCCCACTGCCCACACTGTTTGAGTTGTTCTCGCCGTTCCCCTGCTGCACTGGTATGACTCATCCTCTCACTCCTTCCTCCGCACACCATATCAACCCGGGGCTCTCGTTCCTGGTTTCACGGGAGGGGACGTTCGAGCGTTACCCTTGTCCAGACCCCTCCGTTGCGCAAAGCGCACCACCTGCCGTGATGGATTGACGGAAAGGTTAATTCATGAATGACGTGCCTAGTTGTCGAACATGTTCGAGGGCAACAGGTATACAGCAAGCTGACCTACAAACATGAACCTGACACAAGGGACTCGGCGGTGCAGGACTTGGCTGGGCCACGCGCAGCGGGTCTAAGACGCACTCGAGCAACCAACGCCCGCGGTTGGGGGTCACAGTCATTTGTGGCCTGGCGCAACAGCAGTGAACACATTTGTAAGGGACGTTGTGGGTGATATCGGCTGATCCATGCGCACGGGGACGACGACGCGCTTGAGCAACCAAAGTCCGCGGTTTGGGGCCACAGCAGCATACGTGGCGTGGTCTGTATGACAAAGTGAACACATGCTCAACACGTGTTTCGGTAGCGTATACAAGGGCGCTTCGCGGCGAACCGCTTTCGCGGTCGCGGCTACACGTAGGCTGTATTGCGATGTCAGGTGTATGCGGGTCGAGTTTTGAAATGAGAGCAAAGAGAAGTGTACGCACGTGAAGAGTTGCTTTGTGCCTAGAAGTGTGTGTTCGAAGAGCGGCAACAAACGAGGAACAAAGTAGGTGCAGAGCGATCTAGGTCGTGAGTAAACAACCTTCGACTTCACGGTCGACGAGGGAAGGATGGCTGGACCCTTCTCGCGATACAAACTAAGGCAAACACCGCAGGGGGAACGGTGGGGCAACGAAACCAAAACAAAAAAATGCAAAAAGCTCCCGCCGTGTGACCCCGGCTGACACGTCAGGTGAATACGCCGAACGGCCTGTAAACCGGCGGCAGAAAAGATGGGACGAACACTCGGGTGAAGCGACGGCCGAAGGACAGAGCGGAAAAAAGTTGGTGCACATGAACCACATAGAAAGAACTTCGCCCATTGTTGTTACAGAGACCATGCACCAACATGTTCAAAACGGGCGTGCAGTCTATGTGCCGTCCAAACACCACCGGAGAAGAATGTGTAGTTTACATCATCTTGTAAGCACGTACCACAGCATAGCTGTAGATTATGTGTGTACAGTGGGGGGCCCTCAATAACGCCGGTTGAATAACACCGGTGGCCTTCAACAGCGCCGGTGAAACTGCTGGGCACAGCCAGAGCCCTCAATAGCGCCACACCGGCGTTATTGAGGGCGGTCGGCAATAACGCCGGTTCGGGCACCTCTACACCCCGCAAAAGCGCCGGTTTTTCTCACTTCGGCGTCCTGGAGCGGGCTGCGGAGGAGTGTGGGAACGCAGACGCTGCCCTTTACCTGTCTAAAGCCAGGATGGCCATGATCGAAGCGCATACTGCTAGGCAAACGCACCAGACAGACTCGAGGGAATTTGTTGCGACGGAAGTCATTGAAGCGGAATGAGGAGGGGAGACAACGCGGGGGTGCAGTCAAAGCCGTTATTTTTTGTTGTATCGTTTCTGGCGTTTGATCCGTCCTGTCTCTACCCGGCCAGCTGGTTTTGTGTCCAATTATCTGTACGTGGCGCTTCTTTCGTGGTCGTTTCTTGTTTTCTCGCTACAGCGGTGGCTATGGTTTTTAAGAGAGTGTCGTGACAAGCCAAAATCTCTCTCTTAAATTCGGTCCCTCAACTCGGACACGGTTTAAGATAACACATCTTAAACCGTAGCCAACTCAGCTACGGCCGTTTCAGAGCCATACTGTTGCCGAAACCGCCGGGCGAGGTAATGGAGACCAAAAAAAGACATGTTGAGAACGTTGCTGCTGGCTGCATCAGCGCCTTGTGCTCGCAAGACGTACCTGAATACTACAAATACATGGAGCAACAAACAGCGAGAACAAGCAGAACGAGGTATCTTGACCCTGATGTACTACCGTAGAAAACCTCCCCATTCCTACGTCGATCCTAGCACCCTCTCGTCCTCTTGGCATCGTTAAATGGAATCCCTCATGCAAGTCTGCTTTGCTTCCCTCGACCCGTAAGCGCCCATCCAAACTAAATTCGCCTTGCAAAGATGGGACGACACATCGGTCATGCCGCATTTCTCGGCAATATCCTCGATCCCACAAAAATGTTCAGCTACCCCCGAGTACGGTGGTGGACCCTCGGCTACTGGCCCCGCTTCGCCTTGTTCAGACTGGTCGAGTTCGTCATCATTCGAGTCTTGACTGATGAGCGACATGCCCTTATCAAATTTCCTTCTACCACTGCTACGATAGCTGCCGTGGCAGAAGCGGTGCATTTCGTTGTCTCTCTGCGGGTCGCTCACACCACATATTTCATGAAGGTGGCGTCTCAGGGGCGTGACAAGCCAGTTTGACTCTCTTAAACCCGAGCTTTCTCTTTAATAAACTCTCTTCAACCGTAGCCACCACTGTACATGAATGAAGGGCGGAAGAGTACTGTTGCACGTTTCACGCCCACATCTGTTTTACCCTACTGTTGTTCGTTTTTTGCAACTATGTAACTTTTACCATTCCATGGTGCATTGGGTGCAGTTGTGTCATCGTTTCGCTGTCGCGGAGTCCTCTCTGAAACACCAACGTTTCCGGCTGCACAGCGCTTATTTATGAGGCAGGGGGATCAGCATACTGCCACCTTTCTATATGATCAGTTGATGAACACAACAACTCTAGGCGGCTGAGGACCATAACTTGTCCTTTGCAGTCCGCCTACTTCACCACTCAATCGGCTCCTTTTCAATTTGTGAACATGTTAGCTCCGCAGAGCGCAATCGCTGCGCCACATGACCGCAATCCCTCAATAGTGCCACAACGGGCGATACTGAGGGAAAATGACCCTCAACAGCGCCGTTCGTGGCGCTTTTGAGGCACAATTCCAACAGCGCCGGTCGCTCTGAATAGCGCCGGTCGAGGCGCTGGGCACATACCGGCGTTATGGAGCCCGTAGTGGCAATTATGATGTGTGTGCCGTATCAGGAGGGCAAAAATAAAAGGACCCACAGTACTCGTCCACCAGCAGGATGCTACATGCTCCGCCAGACAGAGGGTTTTGGGGTCAGATGACTGAAGAAGTTCGTGTGTTGGTGGAGTGTGCGGAGCCTGGCTAAGAACTCTTCCGCAAAAAAAGAAAAGGGATCTAGTACGAGACATCCTGCCACTATGAGATGTAAGTCTCCGGGTTCACGCTGCGGCTCGAGTTCCTTTCGTCGTGTATGCACCAGAAGAGAGGTTGACAATATACACGGAACGGGTCGTGGAACGCGGGTTCAGTGTGTCCATCTGTGACAACACCCCGTAGGTAGATCTCCAACAGGTTATCTGACGTCACAATCTACGAGAAAGCAGTTTGAAGTGGTCTTTTACGGGCGGGTGTAGTTTGCAGGCTACTGGGTACACGACACCACGGCCGCAACCCCCCCGCTTTTCGTCGGGATCGAAAGAGAGACGCACCACAGCAGTAAGGTGCTTTGTCTCGTGGCATGCCGAGATCTGGTTGCTTGGTTGTCACGTGTGGCGAGGGTGTGTACATGTGTACATGTAGTCAGCGTACCAAAAAGAAAGAATTGCCACGTCTTTCTCTTACTCGACTTCATGCAAGAATAGCCTGCTATTATATCTACCCTTTCGTTTTGTGCGTTGGTTAGCGTCTGTCTGGTGGTTTTGGATGACGAGAAAAGGTGCGTTTCGGAGTGATACGTTCACTGATGACTGGCTGCTTCTTCACGTCTACCTTCTTCACGCCTACCTTATAGCAGAGCAGCAGCAGTAGTCTTCTAGTGCCGACAAGTCTCGAGGTTCTGCGCCACAGGCTCGAAGGATTTTTCGTGTGGATGTACTACTGCTGCTGTGTATGCATCGCGTGGAATTCGGGAAGGAGGGAGGTGGCACATGTATGGAGGAGAGAGAAATCCGCAAGACTGGGAGGAAGGGCAGAACCTGACTCGCCGCACGTGCACGCAGGGTGACGACGGATTGTCTCTAACCTAGGGAACCGCCCCGATGTTATAATACAACCATCTGGCAATACCGAAATTTGCTGGGCATTCCCTGTGGCCATCGAAGGCACTCCCATCTATCGTTCATCACGTGGTTTGAAGCCGTGGAATCCCAAGATACTCCATCTGTCATTCTTGTGGTGGCCTTCTACCAATTTCTCTCTCAGAGGGACACAGGCTACCCTCGTTAGACCCAGGTCGTGACAGTATTCACCTACTACATACCTGGCAGTTTACTTTCTCCAGACTTTGACAAGGAGAAAATTTAGGAAAATAGATGGGCGGGTACAATGTTGTAGACTAGTAGGAAGACTCCCGCTTTTTCCGCTCGCCATCTCAGCAGGTTTGTGTTTTGGCGTCATGGTCTGATAGCACCGATCGCGTATGCTAAGGCTTGCACGTTTACCTCCCAGGTTATCTCCCTTCTCTTGCCAGCTCCGTCCTTGCGGCAGCCTCCACCGTGATCTTCAAGGACTACAGAACACATCGCAGCAGCAAGGTCCGGGTCATGGGGGCCAGTACTCATCCGGGACGAAATAGCTGGACAACAAGTAGAATTCGATATTGCTCAACTCGAGGTCGTTGGTAGCAACTTTCCGCGTGCCCCTCCCTCAGCAGAACCAAACAACGGTGTTTTTTGCCAAACCGCCGCGCAAGCTTCGACCGATCACAGCAAGGCAGCCACTCATTTGAAAAACATGCTTCTCACGGTGCCGCAGATAGGTAACATTCTTTCACTCCTTGTTTCACGGTGCCAGGTATGAAGTAAATAGAGTCTGTTCTACGCATTGGGGTGAAGTGGCGTGGATTCGTGTCGTCATTAAGAGGACTGCTACTGTAGACTTCATATCAGGAGTGGTGTCAGCATCGGTTTCAAAATGGGTTCGATGGTACGTTCTAAATAACAATGAGCCGGGGCGCGAAGCGCAGCCGTTCTTTTCCCTTCGTCCCAGGAGGGAAAAACAGGCTCAAACTGTTACATATCGGCCTGTTCCGGGTGGTACAGGGGCCCAAAGTTTGGTTTCCGGGAAGCCTTCACCCACATTTGGGACCAGATTACGATTTGTTGGGTTCTGAGGAGAGGAAAAAATAGCGCACTCTTTGTCACACCGGTTTGGTCGTGCTTCGGCGAGAGATGGCCGTGCAACACAAGCGTTTGTGCCCAACATTCGAAGGTAGGAGAGATACACATGCTACTTCACCCCATCCCTGGGTGTTCAGGAAGAAAGGCGGGATTACAACAGCGGAGATCTCAAGCGCGCGCGAATCAAACCACCAGGAGAAACAGAGATAACACACCGCTGTATGTCTCGCACATGCATAGAATCACACCCACCCTCCGCGATCCAATCTTTTCCATAGGGAAAAGCACAGCAGTAACGGCAGTCCTGGTGCCCGCTCTCTGGCTCAACAACAGGGAGAGTCTTGGCGGTTTATTTGCCGTTGGAAAAATCGATGCGTGAAAACAGTATAGAGTAGATTGAGGTCTTGCCCACAGCAGCAACACCAGTAGCGGAGGGTAAGGTTGAGGCGGTTGGTGCTGTTGATGCAATCGCCATGTGGGACTCAGAACGATTTAGGGATGGCGTCTTTCGCTGGACAACAACAGGGCGGGGAATAAGGGTACCAAACGAACGACGCCGCCGCCAGCGAGCGAAACAGAGAGAGACTGAGATGTTGACAAACGGTCCATGTGAGAGAACGAGCTGGCTCTTGTCTGTTGGAACTGCTGTGCTCCTGCCAATTTCCATCTGCTTTCCATACCGCGCTGCCCGTGGGTTCTACCCACTGTATGAAGTGCGGAGGAAGTCTCCATCACACACAGCATCGCAGATGGAGACTACTGCAGGTATTGAGCCGACCCCACGGCTCATTACTCCTCCCTACCTATTTTAGTATGCCAAGTACCACACCCTGTTGTGGGAATAGGTTATGAGCGCGCGGGAAGAGAGGACAGCTACAGCAGTACTTCATCATACGGAGTTGTGGTGTTCTTGCCTTCGCCATTTGATCATTGGTGTCTACGTTTGATCGCGCTTCATAGCAAGGCTTTTCACCATCTTCCCTACCACTGCCACTTGTTCAGGACGCCGCCGGGTTTCGAGGAAACAGATCATCAGATCATCACCTTCCTTGCTACAATCTTCTGTTCTGTCCATGACTATGCGTAAAGTCCGTTCATGCCCGATGTCCACCCAACCCAGTCGCTTCGTTGTTTCCCGTTGTCCCGCGGGATGGTATCTAGTTTCGCCGACCAACAGCACCTCGCCATAGTGGGTGTAAAACGACATCACGATCTCCCCCGTGCGCATTGACCCTCTCGGGCCGCTCCCTGCCGGCGCCTACAGCAGGAGTATAAGATACTGTAAGTTGTTCCGAGCCACAGCAGCATGTGATGAATACGTGCAGCTGCACTTGATATTACAGTGGGGGGACCTGTTTAGTGCCGGTTGAATAGTGCCGGCAAAATCTCTGGACACAGGCGGAGCCCTCAATAGTGACAGACCGGCACTATTGAGGGCATGCCCGGTTTAGTGCCGGTTGGGCGACGCTGTCACCCCCAATAGTGCCTGTTCACGCGCGCGCGCGCGCGCCCAATACACACACACACACACACACACACAGGGCAGAGAGACAGGCTCCACGCAGAGAAAAGGGGTTCACGTGCTGCTGCAGACCCGAACAGCTGTACGCAGGGGGGCACCATGCCATGTGCGGAATGATGGGGGTTTACAGCTGTAGTGTTTTTTTTTTTCTTGCGGCGCGCTTCCTGTCGTGCGTCTCTCTTTTTTTCTTTCGTACAACATCGAAGCTGGTGGGCCAGGCAGACATAAGAGAGCTGTCGCGACGTAGTAAAGGTGGGGGTTACAGCTGTAAGTGTTGCTTTTTTTTTCATTTTGCAACATCGAAGAAGGGCAACGGGGAGTGAGATTTCGTTTTGTACAAACGAGAGCTTTACAAGCAGTTTTTGCCTTCACAGGTTAATGGGGTGCATGATGTGGGCCACATTTTCGCCATCGACTAAATAATATTAGTGCTGGTCAGGTACTACTGCTGTAGCCCGAAATGCAACAATTATTTTTTACAACACATTGTTGCGGCTTCGACAGGCAGGGTGGACCCACACGTGTGGCGAGAAAGTCTGCCCACACCCACGCGAGCAATGAGCCGCGGAGCGCGAAGCGCGACATTGTCCCCAAGAGGGAAAACAAGGTTCCACAGTAATATCGGGCTTTTTCAACCATCGCGTTGTTGAGCGACCTTTCTGCAAAACCCCCGGGGAATCGTACCTAAAAACATTATCCCTATATTTGACGAGAACGATGTCTATAGAGCACCGATTTACGATGTGCTGGATTGTGAGGAGGAATCTAATTACGGCACTCTCCATTACACCGGTTTCATCGCGCTCTTACCACAGACGGCCGTGCTTGACACGCATTTGCTACCAAAGTCATCGAAACGTCCCCGGAAGTTCGACGAGAGGTCAAGGAACGCAAAAGCGGAGATCGGTACACAGCAGTTCACACACAAGCAGTTAATTACTCGGTTTCCAACCCGGGGGACAGAGGAAGCACTCAGCGAGCTAAAAAAACACGCAAACCCGCTGGGGGGGGCAAGACCGCAGTGACGAGGGAAGGGGGCCACACACACTGCTCGTGGCGGATGTCATCGCCACTGCTGTTGCTGTGGCGTGTGGGGAGAGGGATCATTGGAAAACGAAACCTTTGCGCCTGGGGCAAGAAAACTACGAACGAACTCTGATGATCCCAGCAGAGACAGACTCGGCGTTTTTCTTTTTTGCAGGCTGTTCCAAACGCTCGCGTTTCTGAGCGTACTACAGCCTCCTCGTCAGTGTTAATCTCCACACAAGACGGGGCATGGACACAGCTCGTGGCGGATGCCTTGAGTGTATCTTTTTAGGGTAAGTTAGCCAACAACTTCCAGCGGGAGCGGGTACAAGGTCTTGGAAGATCCGTGGGAATAGTCTTCCGCAAAGTCAGTACTGTACCTGAATTGCGCGTGCTGGATTGCTGCGTTGCTGCCTGGATTGCAGAGTGTCTCGCACCTTGCACAGCATCGCAGATAGACCATTGTAAGAGTCGTCACCCGCGACTCATTACCCCCCCCAATGTCGATCCTCCGTTCTAGACTTCAGTGGGTTGGCGCTGTGGGCAAAGCGCTGTAAAATACGCCACCCCAAGTATAGCCCCCATAGTATGCGCTACCAAAAACGCGTGACGCATGGATGAGTGGAGTGAGGATAGCTTACGGAAACCTCACAGGTTGAGTGATGTAGGAGATTGCCGGACACATGGACGTGTTGAGTGATTACAGCTGTATACTGAAACCCCAAGGGTTGAGTGAGATTTGATATTGCCAGACACATGGACGGGTTGAGTGGGGATAGGTGCATGCTGAAACCCCACGGGTTGAGTGATGTTGGAGTGCCGGACACATAGATGCGTTGAGTGAGGATAGACACATACTGAACCCACAGGTGATTTGTGATGTAGATTGCCGGACACATAAACGTGTTGAGTGAGGATAGCTGCATACTGAAACCTCATAGATGGATTGGTTTTTGAGCTTGCCAGACACATAGATGCGCTGAGTGAGGAAAGCTACATGCTGAAACCTCACGAGTTGAGTGATGTTGGATTGTGCCGGACGNGTGATGTTGGAGTGCCGGACACATAGATGCGTTGAGTGAGGATAGACACATACTGAACCCACAGGTGATTTGTGATGTAGATTGCCGGACACATAAACGTGTTGAGTGAGGATAGCTGCATACTGAAACCTCATAGATGGGTTGGTTTTTGAGCTTGCCAGACACATAGACGCGCTGAGTGGGAATAGCTACATACTGAAACCTCACGAGTTGAGTGATGTTGGAGTGCCGGACACATAGATGCGTTGAGTGAGGATAGACACATACTGAACCCACAGGTGATTTGTGATGTAGATTGCCGGACACATAAACGTGTTGAGTGAGGATAGCTGCATACTGAAACCTCATAGATGGGTTGGTTTTTGAGCTTGCCAGACACATAGACGCGCTGAGTGGGAATAGCTACATACTGAAACCTCACGAGTTGAGTAATCTTGGATAGTGCCAGACACATAAACGCTTTGAGTGAGGATGGCTGCATATTGAGACCTAACGGGTTGAGTGACGTTCGCGACTGCCGGACACATCGACGCATGGAGCTACGAAAGCTGCATACTGAGACCTCACAGGCTGATTTGTATTGGAGATTGCAGGACACATAGACGCGTTGAGTAAGGATAGCTGTATACTGAAAATTCAAAGTAGCTACAGTATATTGAGGGGACAATTCGAGAATGCAGTACACATAGACCCGACCCCCAACCAGTACTCGAACCCCCCCTGAAAAATAGAGGTCATGCCCCCCCCCCCC